TTTATAGAAGACACGAATAGCTAGCGGCAAGGTAAATGTAATTCTACCGTTTCATATTATTTCATTAGTGACTCTTTTATCTGCTAAATAGTTAATGAATTTAGAAAACTTAGTTCCCACTGTTCGACCCGTTGTTTCCATCTTGGTTAGATTCAAGCCACGAGACGAGTCGTGACAGTTCCTCCTTGGCGGCATCCTCAACTGATTTTAGTTGACAGAAAAGAGAAAAATTCCTTAGATCCTAAGATTTCTGATTATATAACCCGCAAGAATGCCTATTGGAAATTTGCACACAGAGCCCGCAAGAAAACAAACAGAGTTTGCAAATAATATGTTGCCTTCGAAAATCTAGAAAGCCAAAAACCTCGACAAAATTTGATAGAAGGAGAAATGAAATTAAATGGAAAAAAAGAATGAAATGTGCCCACACTTAGAAAAGGAAGAGGAAAGAGGTGCAAGAACCATGCTTTGATAACATAATGATATCGTAACAAAACAAAACTAAAATATGCAGTTAAAAAATTCCATAAAAAGGATAAAAAATGGGTCAAAAATTCCAAGAAAAAAAATGCATTAACAGAAAAGAAAGATAGTTGATCATCGCTTGGGTGCCATTCCAAAAGGATACGGGAAAGGTTATTGCAACCAATCAAAAAACCCTTCATCCCCCTTCTAACCATATAAAACAATTTTATGGAAGCCCTCAACAAAAATGAAAAACGGAGAAAACAGACTTAATTACAAATAGGACACCCTACAAAAAAACATAACAATTTTAGCTTCTGTGTCAAGGTCTTCATGGAAAATCCTACAGCAATTCCTTTCAAGAGAAAAAAAATAATGATAACACTGCAAAAAATACCTCTGCTACATAAACAAAAGGCTAAAGTAGGGGCTCTTAGCTAAAAAATCTCCCTTCCCTTCTTCCTCTTCCATTTACCTAGTTATGCGATTACAACCATGTTAGATGATCAATTACCCAATAGATTAGAAACTCCAAGCCACACATATAAAACCTTTGGATGTAATGGTGAGCTGTTTGAAAAAATTCCCCTCAACTCAACTCAAGTTACAAGCTTGACAAATATCTAATGATTTGGAGTAAAAATTGGTGAACCATCCAGACATAAGCTCGAAATAAGAACATTCTCATTTGGACTACTTTTTTCATTGAGAGCACTATCGACAAAATTGAAGAGCCTGACAACTATTAAATCAAATATCATGCCTCTACTCATTCAATCTCCTAGACATTTTGTCAACAATTATCACTATCTAACCAGAAACGATACAACAAGTGATGCAAACTGTGTTACTTAGTTCCCTCTCAATGTTCCAGCAAACTATTGAAAATTCAAACTGACACAAACCAAAATACCGAACCCTAAATTCAAATAAATATGATGCAAGTGCCATTACCTCAATCGGCCTACAAAACTGGTCATCCTAGGATCTTCAATACATGAAAAGAAAATCCAAAGTCCTAACCATTCCTCCAAATCAAATAGAAGAAATTGAATATCTGAGGGGCCCTTAATCTAGAAGCCATCTATTCCTTCACCATCAATACAATATTCAAAGCAGAGCTGATCACAATTAGAGTGTTAAATCTCCACGAAATTCATCTTATAACAAAACCAATCTGAGCATATTCCAAAGTGACTTTTGTTCAATTTATAACTAACGAGTTTATTAATGATCTACCTTCAACAAAACGCCAACTAGAATGCCCTTCCACCATTAAAATTAATTTATGTCAATCATCAATGGATTATACTATTAATACAATTCTCCTCCAAAGATAGTTACCTCTAACAAAATCCCTCGTGGCTTCCTATATATTAAATTCACAAACCGCATGTTTTTGTCTTCCCTAGCTCAAATTGAGTGAGGCAAGAGATAGATTCTGACTCTTCAACTATTGGTGTAGCTTAGAGTCATGTTGTCGTTTCCAAAAACAAAAAACAAATTCTCTTTCCTTCCTAGTGGTGGGTGCAACATATGTCAAATCTAAATTGGACGAGAACGGGAACTTATGATTATCTACACCTCCACAGCCAAATATCCAAAATAGTCACTTTCCATGATATCAAATATGGTCGTTAATAAATTGTAATAAAAAGAAATGCCTACGCTATAAATATTTATCGAGTCCTAATTTAGAAAAAAAAGGGGGTGGGGGTGCCAGGGGAATCACAATTTTTATTATGATAAAATTGACTATAAAATCAATACCAAATAGGCCTCAGATGTTCTGGACCGAGACATACAAGGTCAATCTCATCCAAAGCTTTTAAATCGAAGGAAGAATTCAACAACTGTGAAATTTCATCTAATTAAGGTAAAGAGATAAAATGACCATAGACTAGTTAGTCTATGGATTCAATGCATAAAGTGCAGATACAACAAATCCAGATGTGATCTAGGCATTGACAACCCTTCATGAATAAGCTGAAAGACGACCAAGTAGGGGGCGCGGGCGCCTGTTTGCAACTCTATTAACCAAAATATATTTGTAGTATCTTCACTACAACAAGCTTCAACAACACAGGTTAAAGAGACTTCTTGATGGTTCAAGCAACATATTATTAGATAAACAATGTTAACCAAAATAGTCCTCATTGACAGCATGTGCTCCTCCCTCAATGATGGATTGCATTGACAATATCTTAACCGAAGAAGATACCCTATCTGACCATCATACCAAAACTAATCCTCGAGTGCAAGGATCCAAGGCAGGCCAACACAAGCATACACCAATGCCATTACGACCCTTCAAAACCCAAAAATAAACCTTAATTGAAGCCATACCTGTCAATGGTAAATTGCATGCAAAGGTTTGGTAGAGTCATAGCACATAGCACAAAGCACATAACACATAGCACATGACAGCGCGTGCTAAATATACAACAAATTAAAAACTTTTGATAACTTTGCAGCTAAATATACAATCATGTTTCTGAAAGGCAATTAACGTAGCAAAAAAAAAAAGTTAAATGAATACTTAAAAGGTAATAATTTATTGAAAATAAATGAAGTTAGTTTGCATGCAAAAAAGTAATTTTGCATCTGAACCTCAAACATGATTTTTAATGAAAGTAAAAAAAATCACACGATCACACACTCTAAATGTTAAGGAAATTGAAGAAAGGCGTGAATTTCAAGTTGCTATATACTAAATTATGTGGTCATGGAATCGAATAAGGAAAAAAGAATGATAACTTCCTAATAATGATTTATACAAAATAAACAAGATATCATGAGCATGACTGCATATATACAGTATCTAAGCACAACCTGTAAAAAATATGAAATAAATTTGAAAGTGTTATTTATTTCTTTAGTTAAAAAATAAATAAGAAGACTTCCATAAAATAAAATATCAGCTTCCATGTGACCATAAAATAAAATAACAAAGACGACCCAATTGCAAGAAATCCTCCTAAAAAACAAGTGAAGAGTCAAGATCGCCATGCGAAGAGGCAGTGCTTTTGAGAGTGTCAGCTAGAGATGAAGCAATCAGTCAAAGCCGTCAACAACATGCTAACTATGAATACTTTGAAGCCTAAGCCGAAGTCAAACTAGGTGTGCGCGTGAGTGTGTGATTTACCTAGAAAAGCCCTAATAAAAAAAAAACATTGATATTAGTTCTAAAAAAAATAGAAAAAAGAAAATAGCTATCGCAAGAGCAATGTACTTTGCATCATAACCCACATATTGTACAAAAAGTGCTGTGTACTTTGACACGCTGCACCTTTCTATATAAACAGCGCATGTGACTAAGATCAACGGCAATGACGAAACAAAGTTAAGGCTCGTGACTGGCCTAAGATGATAGAACCCTCCACCTAATACGGCAAAAAAATAACTACCTCCAATAACAATAAATTCCACATTGGCCAGACATTTCTAATATAGCAAACAAGTCTGCTAGCATAGATCAACTTGAAGCTGACTCCTTTGCAAGCATCAGTCATAAATAAGCCCGAGGCCCCCACAAATCTTTTAATCAACCTATGACTACAAACAAAGATCTTTTAATCAAACTAGCTAACTATCTCTTATGATTAAATAAAGAAGGATTCATAATTAAACCAACCCCCATCCCTCCCCCGACGGGAAAAAAAAATCCACAGGAGCACAACTATTCCTTCAACTTGGCAAGAATAAAAACCAAAAGTCAAACAAAAAAGAAAATTCATTGCATCATAAAGCTATGGAGAGTTGCGAGTAACCCTAAGTGAGAGTTCTCTCCCTACCATGAGTAAAAATTAACCATAAAGGTTCACCCATAACACAGCTTTGAACTAGTAACATGAAGTATGTTTAGTGTTATTTTATCATTGCTTCATTTAGCCACCTAAAAGTAATATTACAATCAACGGACAGTGCTATAACGTTTCTTCCCTTTCAAAACCCAAAAAAACATATCAAAAATTAGTCCAAGTTTGTGATTTACAGACCAATGCCATGCTTTGAAAGCATAGTAGTTGAAGAATTACACTTCGTATTGGATTTTACAAAAAAAAACATGCATTTTCCTACAAACATAATCAAAGTCACAATACCACAGCAATGGAAAAATGCTTAACAATACAATTATGTTTCTCAAACCATAAAGTCCACCTCTTCTGCAACATATTATAGCTGAAAGGCGAATGATGTATGTAGATAGTATGCTAGAGATACTTCATTGCATCTTTGAAGGAAATATACTTTGGAATGATGTTCAAAGCTGTGACTTTAATGGGTATAAAATATTTTTCTCGTTAAAAAAAAAATCTCCATTATTTTATAATGGGAGCTAACATAGCATATGGGTAATTTGTGCAATCACAGCATATCTACTTGATGATGGATCACAAAAATTTAGTACCATAAATTATAAAAACTCATACTGTTCAAAAAAAATAATCATAACAGTTTTAAGATATTTGTCAACCACATCTTTTTTGAGGGTGAGAGAAAATCGTGGAAGAGATCAGTAATGCCTTCATTACCTGAGAGTCCCTATGCTTCATTAACTTTAGCATTGATTCCTTGAAGCTGCATAAGAAAATTTAACGATCAAAATTAACAAATTCAGCCATTTATGCAAAATAGCAGTCAAATCACAGATAATTAGATGAACAAAATTTAACAACTATTGACGAAAAATGAAATATGAAAGCCTCATCACAGAGTCAATAATAAATAAGGACCCTAACAAACAAGAGATCATGCACATTCGATAAAAACCAACTTAATATTGATAAAAACAAAAATTGTCATCCGTGGTGGCATGGACACACAAAAACACGTAAGGATAAAGAAATCAATGAAAAATAGAATATTATATAAATGTCTATATCAGGAAAACACTTTCAGTATTTGTTGATTCAAGTGCTTTGTTCTATAATACAAAAAAGGATAATGATTAGGCAATAATTACTTAGTTAAACAGGATGACCAACACAAAAAATAGTAAAAAATTATATCCAATAAGATAATATTATGGATTTTTGTGGATCCTGATATTGGGCACAAAAAATGAAACAGTCTTTAACAAATATAATGCAGTATAAAACCAAAACAAAAGACTCTCAAAAGATAGCTGAAACTTGATTTAGCACAAAATAAGAAAACAAAGAAGAAATCATTAAGCGCTCCGAGTGATTCAGATACCACTATGAAAATGACTATGGCATACATATGGCCACAAACTATAGTGTAACATTCCAATTCAAATAGTACAATTATCGAAAAACAATGCACAAAATGATAATCTTATTATAACAAAATTGAACATGGATGAGCTTTAAAAACAAATCTGATCAGCATAACAATAATGAATCCATATGCTTCTCCTGAAATGCCAAGACCATAAAGCTGCATCCATGCTCCTTGCTTCAACATAAAAAGTGGATGCAAAGCAAATTCACAAGGAAATTTAAATCAACTTGACTTATGTCCATCCAATAGAACACATTTTGACCGCTTTGCTTATAAATGTGGCCTGTTGTAATCGCTTTAAATTCTTTCATTAAGTAATCAAAGCTCGTCTGAAATTATTTAAACTTAAACAAAATGTAAGGAAAAATTTTAGCCGTTAGAACTTTGTCCTCAAAAGATACTCATATACATACATAAAAACTATTGATCAGTTAATCTTAACGTGTAATTCAAGAAATCGGTGTATTCTTCTCCAAAAGCAAATGAATTCTGGGTTAACCAAGGGTTATGTTAAGATAATATTTTATATTTAATGTCTAATCAAATGATAAGCTAAAAAGGTAATTAATTATAAACTAATTGCTAAGATAATTATTTAGAATGACAATGAAAAAAATTAAATTTAGGTATCGATAATTACTTCTAAACTAATTGAAATAGTGATAAATAATTAAATATAGTAAAACGGTTAAAGCCTACTTATTTAATAAATGAAATAGCCCAATAAACAACAATTTAACTTACTGTAATGAATTGATTTACAAATTTTAGCAATTAACAAGTGTACTTAGGCTATTTAATTCTGCATATACATTAAACTTATTAGATTATTAACTATAACAGATAGTAATTGATTAAACTAAGTAGCGAGATATTCTCAATTAATTGCATAATAATGAGTTAATTGTTAAAAACTAGCAAATAATAGATTAATTAATGCAAACAAATAATTACTTGGGATAATTAGAACATAATACAAATTAGAGAACTATTCATTTAAAAAAGTAATTGAACTAGTGATATACCAATTAATTAGTCAGATGGTAATATAAAATAAAATAAGCATGCTAATCAATTAAAAATTATTTCATTATTATGTATTAATTAAATCAAGATAATAAATATAATTTAAATTAGATAATTAATAACTGAATAATGGTTATTAATATAAACAAGAATTATTAGATTAACTGCGATAATTAAGGAAATATTTACCTATTATTTATAATTTGACTAAAAAACAGTCTCATCAATTAGACGAATTATATATTATCTAGTTTTCTAGTTTTTAAAAGTCCTAATTTAGTTGTATCGATAAGATAATTGGACTACTTAAGCTCTATAGCCATGCTAATACTATAAGCAAACTGGCCTTTTCAATAAACTAATTTTAATTACTCTAAAATTCTCACTTCAAAGGAAATTAGGCATAACGTATGTCATGATGTTTGGCTGTTAATCAGATTTAAACAAATAGTTAGTAGAGGAAAAATGCGGATAGTAAGCCTAAGAAGAATTGATTATAAAAATTTGCTAAAATGTAATCATTTCGTCAAAAAATATATTGATTAATCATACAATGATTATTTTTAAATATGAATTATTGCAACTAATTATAGATTAAATATTTAATAAAATTTCCAATTAAATTATAACTAACTTATAATTTAAAATAACAAATAATAAAAATTAGGACATTACTTAACTAATTAAAGATTAATATACAAACTAGTTGTTAATTGATGATCAAAAATTTAATATCAACAATTCATTTTACAAATAAAATAGGAATTGACATCATAAACAGCATAAGTAATAAATATGCAAAAATAAGCTATTTATAAATTAATAATTGATATAATTAATCAGGATAACCACTGTTTAAAAAAACCAATCTGCTATTAGCTAGGACAAATAACTATAATTCAAGAAAAATCAATTAATTATAATAAATAAAATTAATTCAAAATTCCATTTATATATATGAAGTAGTTAATATTAAGATATTAAATAAAAATATTGCAAACTTAATATTTAAAGAAAAAAGATTCACTAAATAAGTTATTGATTATAAAAAACTAAAATAAAAATCAATCTACTATTAGCTAGGCCAAACAAATCTAAATTCAAGGAAAACCAATTAATTACAATAACATATTAAGCATTTGATAAATAAAATTAATTCAAAATTCCATCTATATTTGTGAATCTACTTAATATTACCATATTAAATAAAAATATTGCAAACATAATATTTAGAAAAAAATGATTCATTTAGTTATCAATTGAGATGTTTAATAATGTATTAATTATTATATATTTAACTAGTCTAATAAATTATATATGCTCACTAATATTGTGCTCTTTGTCAACAGATGATACATATTTATTAAATGTTTATGCTCTTGGCTAACAGAAGGTAAATTAAGACTTAAACTTTAGAGCTATAATACCAACTAAAAAAAGCATTGCAACCGTAGTGATAGCACTATTTGAGGTTTTAAAAAAAAGCCGATTTAAGCAATTACAAAACTTCAGTTGAGATTACAAGTTTTTACAAGAATTACAAGTTCATCAATTTCTAACCTTTCCATTCCAGCGTAAGGAGGAGCGGAATATATATGATCTGTAGTAAGGATTTCTTTTTCTGCAAGAAATTCCAAGACCTACAAAGAATAACAATAAGCACAATCAAATAAATAGGCAGGAAGGCCAAGGATAAAATGAGGCTATAGAAACACTAAAAGGCATAACGTAAAAGGAATGTAGAGGTTTTAAAATTTTAGGTGTTTGACTGGATAACAAATAAATCCAAAGTAATTTTATGATGTATTTGGAATTCCTCTAATTCACTTTGAGAGTATTTGGAATTCACTATGTTGGATAAATTATAAATACACCGCACATGAGGTCTTCACTTGTTAACTACAACAACCCACACCACAGCCCACAGCCTCTGCGAGACCTCAGTGTTGACCCCACCGCCGCCTCCAAGCTTGATGCCACCTCTACCTCCGATTGCCACAATTTCTACTCATTACTAGCTTAATGTCTAGAGCATGTGTGACCTCTACCTCTTTCTTGTACTTACAACCTCCAATCACCAAAACCGCACGCGATCAACTCCTTTCTGCATGACTTGCATAAAACAATTCATGCCCTAGCCTAGGTTTGCTAATTTATTTTAATTGTAATTTCAATTGGTTTAAAACAAACAGAAAAGAGTAATTCTCAGGATTTCAAATACATTACATTTGCTTTATACTTCGTTTAAAATACTCTGGAATTTTAAACGCTTGCAATGAAACAGTCCCCTATAAGACCATGGATTGCATCATCCATTTACAGTTTTATTCTAAGCTTACATCCAGTTAATTTTGTTTTAAAAATATAAGAAACATTATTTGTGGTAATAAATTTAAAATAAAATTCTTTGATAATTATTTTTAAGTAGGGCCTGCTTTATAGAATTTTCCAGCTCACTAGGGATCAAAAAGAAAACTTTTGCCAAGTCAACATGATTTTAGATTTATAGCATAAAATAGTAATAGAACAGGATCAATACTGCTTTGTGATTGGATTAAAGAAAATAAGTATTTAAAGTATTAACATCAGGCCCACAGACAACATCTTATAATAGGAATGCACGAAATAAAGACCACTAACAAAAGTTTCTAATAGGAAAACATGGGAACCCAGTTCCAAAGAATGTTCCCTGACTTGCTTCCTTTTGCTACTTAAGCAAGTTAATATGAAAAAAGAAAGCCCAATGAAATATACAATTTTTGGCCTCAAACAGATTTACAACTGAATTGCGGCAGTCATGAACTAATGTCAATGGTAAAATTCAAACAACATATAAACCAAAATAACAGAGTAAGAACAACATGACATGTATCAGTACATGATGAAAAAATTCAATAGATTCTCAAGTAAAGCATACCCTAAGAAGTTTCCGAAGAATGGGAATTCTGTTGAAGTTATCACAGTTCTGCTTCATCATATTGTGCAGCATCTGCAATCCTATAAAGAAACCAAAGAATTAAAGAAAATACTCTTTTCATCCAAGAAATTTACTTCAGAAGTGTTGTAAAAAACACAGCAATGAATATTGACCGCTTACCATTTTTGTTTATTATATCCACCAGAACCATCCTAGACTTAGTTTTCAAAATTGCATCAAGAATCAATGAAAGATCCCGAGCACTAAAAGAGGTAGAATGGTAAAACAATTATATAAGGCCATACATATTAATAAGAAGCATGGTAACCAAAGTAAAACGAAAGTGTCAAGCACCTCTGGGACATGCTGCCACTGGTTTCATCCCCTGCTGCTGCTGTTACAACTAAAAGCTTCAAGTATCCTTTAGCAGCATCCTGCTCAAAAAATGAAAATTGAACAATTATTTTAAAGAAGACGTACTTCAAAACTGAAGTTATTTTTTTTAATAGGAACAATCAACAGTAGCCACAAGGAACTTCCAAGTATCTAAGAGTATGAAAAACTGATTCTATCTGAACAAATTGGCTAATATAATTGCATAATTTTTATCACAGCAAGAAGAACTCTTTCAAAAAGTAAGCAGTAAAAATCTCACTGAAAGGTTGTCGAATCAAGGAACCCGTTTAAGGCATATGATATGTCCAACTTTTCAAAATTTTTATAACATTTCTTGCAACAAGTAAAAGCATTAGCAAAAGAAATAAAAAATACCCTACCAGCATAAATTCTACTTATAGAGACAATAACAAATACTAAAGGCTTGGCAGTGCCTTTTTTTTCTTTCAATTTTAAATTCAAACTAAGTACATATTCAGATAATTTCATAAGAATAAAGGATAGTTCATGTAGAATATTAACATACTTTCCTATAACGGTATTCAAATCATGATAATAATGAAATCATTCTTCTCGAATTCTTCAATGCTTTCATTTTTAGACTTTCTACATTCGTCATGTTCTTGCATAAGACTAGTAATTTTATAAGGTCATTATGGTTTATGTGATCTTTTCCCGGTCATCTAGAACACAGCCCTCAATAGTTTATTTACTAGTAAATTGATCATTTGTAAGAATTTTGGAAGGTGTGCGTTATAGGCTAAGGGCCTGTTTGGGACAGCTGCAACTTATTGAATAATCTGCTGATAAGCTGATTAAAAATAATCTACTGATAAACAAGTGCGATGACTATTAAAGCTTTTTATTTTTTTTTGGAAAAGTCAGACTACTGCCAGAAAGCTGCCACCACATCTAGATAGGTGCGGTCTGAAAACGTTGTTTTCAGCGTTTTCAAAATGCATAAGCTGTCAAAACGCAGTTTACCCAAGCAGGTCAGGTGCGTTTTCAAAACGCCACCGCACCAAATAAGCATCCCCAAATAGGCCCTAAATAAGAAGATATACATAAATTGACTTAATAAACCAAAATAGACCTGTTATAAGTGATGATAAACATATCTAGAATTCAAATTTTCAGAATAATTAAATTATTAATAAGCAAATCAACTTCTTGTCTCAAATTATATTTATTCTATCCTTATGATATGCAAATAATTATTATCTCCCACACTAGCTTTCAAATTAGCAAATATTCTAATAAACTTTTCTGCAAAATTATAAATATCATCTTAGACAGCTTGCTGTTGTTGTTGTATTCTAGACAGTTAGCCAAAATCTCTTAGCAGAAAAAAAAAGTTAAATGTTTACATATTTCATATATTCTAGATCACTCATAAATTAGCAATCAAAGAGATCCTCAAGTTCAGATATCCAATCAGGAAAAAATTCAGATCATGCCAGCCTCCGGCTTTAAATTCAGTAGGTTGTTGATCACAATGAATTCCATGGTTTCTTTTATGATACCTAAAAAATCATTTGTCATGATCATCATTAGAATGAAAATATTCAAGTCAGTCCCGCAGGTTTGTGTGGTTTTATGTTCTCTTTGGTCACCAAGAACCCAAGTATATCTAGAATCCATATGGTTTCAAAAGTTCCTAGTTGGTTCAGATTGGGAAAGAAAGACTAAGGGTATTCCTAGCAGATTGAGGTCCAAGAAAAGCACCAGAATTTCTACACCGGCAATGTCCTAAAAAAGCACATCAATTAGAACTTCTGCGAACTAGTTTCAGGTGACTAAAGAAGGTGAAGCTCTCCTACGTAGTCATTAACCAAGGAAGCAATACTTTGAGATGTTCCTCAATCAGGACTTCTTAGTTAGTTCATTTAACACCTGAGCTCTTCTATTTCCTAGAAACCTCACCTAAAAACGGAACTCGATCAAATTTATTGTCTAAATGTTAGAAATTTATTTCACTTATTGACATAATGATTTCTATGTTATCGAGCCTTTGTTAAATTTATTTGACAAGCATAAAAAGTCTCTCACATTCATTTATGAATGTGCCATGCAAAATTGAGCATGATTGATACATATACAATGCAACTAATAGGATATTATATATGCAATACAAAAATTAATTAGTGTTCAAATTTCAATTGCATATAAGAATTCAAATACAAAGAATCAATTCAAAAGAAAAAAGAAATCAAACCAATCATGTTTCATATATCAACCATACAATCAATTAATATAAAAGAAAGTTTCATTAAACGAGGAAACCCAACCATGACAATAAATTTGTCAATCAATAAAAAGAAAATTACTCGACCAATAATGGAAATGTTATTTTATGATCAATCAAGCTTCAGTCTTTGAGATACTATTTTTAAGTCCAATCTTGAGCAGATCCATGGGAAGATATTATAAAGCTCTAAAAATCACAAATGAAACAATACATGAAAAAGGATACTTATCCTTGTTTTCTTTACTTATTCTACTCTATTTCATTTTCTTGTTCGGTCTTTTGTTCCTTAAGTGTATTTTTATTTCGAATTTTTAAACTCTAAGCTGCACCAATAGTCTAAGAGAGTATAGATTTACATAAAAAACCTCTTCCTCATATTGTGTGCGTTAAAAAAGACCACATAGCTCCCAGATTCATGGGATTAGTAATTTTAATTGCTATAAAACTTTAGGCTTATTAAGTGGATATAATTTGAACTGGATTATGCATCAAACTATAACTTTTTAGGAAATTGAGCGAATTTTTAACTTAAATTTGAACTATGAATTTACATCCAGATTATTGAAAAGATTTGATGAGTTATTTTAGTAGTACTTGCCACAGTATTAGCGATGGTATTGAGGAGAACAGAGATGGTGATATGAAGACAAAATTCATGAGAGAAAATAAGCAACAAGTAGAGGCAAGGAATCTGCAGGTTTTTTGCTTCTCTTTATGAGAGGATAGAAAGTATCAGGAGAAGAGAAAAAAAACACAAGGGAAAGAGATGACTGATCCAAAAATGCATTTTTTCTAAAATGGTGGGAGTAGAGAGGAGAAAAAAATGTAAAGAGGGACAAAACTATAGGATTTGTTGTATTTTGGTGCAAGGAACAAGAAAATTTTCAAAAGCAAATGAGAAACGATATGAAATTTGCACTGATACCAAATAAATAAAGAGTAAGCAGCAAACTAGTGCAATTTAGATTGGAAAACGGATGAATGCATACGATATTATGAAATAGATATAAAAGTTTAAAAAACAACCAGTTTGAAAAAACTACTAATCACACATGATTTATAGGTGCTCACATTTCACATTCACTCGCACAACCATTTATGAGGACCTTGCAATAATTCTGCTTCTGGCAATTAAACATTAGAGAATTTACCTTGAATTCCCATCGTTCAAATGGTTCTAATTACTTCTCAAATTCAATAATAGATGACTAAATATAAGAATGTAGAGGAAAAAACATATTAAAAAAAACGTAATCCACCATTTAGCGAAAAGTTTCATTGCTAATTGAAGACAACCTTTTCCAAATGGCCTCATCCATGTACTTTTCAAGCTAACAATATGCGAGTGACATGGTCAAATCATTATATGAAATTAAATCGCTACAAAAATGCCAGTACATCTTCTGAAAGTTCATGTCTGCACCAATAAAAATGCAAACAATAAAACATATCTAGATTGATGATGCTTACTTTCTGCCTGCGAATGCCACCATCCTCATCTAGCAGCTCATTAAGTTTTTCTTCAACTGCATACAGAGCAAGAGTATAGTGACGCACTAATCAAAATATAATTTAACATATAATTAAGATAGAAAAAAAGATTACCTCCTTCAATATGTCGACTGCCGATTGCAGTAGAAACTTTCCTTGTTTTCCCAGAAGACAAACTTCTGACACTTACCCTGCTCCGTTTAATTTTTACATGTTGCAATGCTTTCACAACATTATTAGGCTTTGATGACGTTAGAATTTCTTCAATTGGAGAAGTTGCATAACCGTTTTTATGCATGAAAGAATCAGAATTTTGGGAAGAAATCTTTGTTGTATCATCCGTAACAGGTTCATGCACCACAAGATCACTTTGGCACGAAGTATTCAGGCTGTGCTTAGATCTTTCTGAAAACTGCTTAGGAGCCAATGGCCTGAAAGCATCACTCAATGGTGAAATCTCATTTACATCATCACCAAAGGTTTGATCAGGTTTTATGTTACCCAAACCAAGCTGCAGATCCAGTAATGGTTGCTCATCAGATATTCTGCAAATGCTATCTTTGGATTCCACATAATTTGAACATTGCGTCGAACTATCAGTCACATTTGGTTCAGATGATGACGGGAGAATAGCATCTTGATTTTCTAAACCTTTATTTTCCACACATATCCCCTGCTCCGACGTTGGAGGATTACCCTCAGTGTCAATTCTCTCTACAGAAAATTCTTCTAGCTTAGCATCAATAGCATCAGAGTCCGTCATTGTCACTCCAAGCTCATCATCGCCATATTCATCAATCATTACTGGTTCAAGGTCATCTGCATCTGACTCATCTTGTACAATAACTTCAGAGCTTGATGGATCACCGCCAATGTAACCTCTGCACTCAACAGAACCACACACACATTTCTTAGCAGCGGCACCAAACACCCTTACATAGTTGTAATCAAACGTGATTTCTTCACCCTGCAAAATTTAATAAAAAATAATATTAAATAGATGAAAAAGAGGCGCATTAATCACACAAATATGCAAATGAGACTAGCACGCAGCAAAAACTGATAACGAGAAAGAAAAACATGTATGTGAATCGAGCCAGCAATTTAAATGCAATACTTTCTTGAAACGTGATTTGTAATCTCAAGAGTAACTTCAATACTTTCTGAATTTAAACTTGGTATTTCCCTACGCTACTTTCAATGATTGAAAATAAAAAGTATTTAAAAATTGACATGTTTTTAATTAATAAAAGTTTTGAAAAAACAATAGAGTTATCCATGGCAAGAGATACATGACAAATCACGATTAAACCCAAACATCTTTATATTTATTAGGAAAATTACAAGGGATATTAAAAATATATCTCGATATATGCCATCTGCATATGACAAATAGTGGGGCCTCCATCAAAATAAGCAAGAAGTTACAACAATAGAAAAGAAATTTTAAGTAACTTAACAGAGATCAAATAAACATAAGTAGGTGCACAATTAAAGAGTGCCAATCAATATTGAATATATCCTACTGTAACAGTCCAAGTTCAGAGAGGCGTTGGTAATAGCACCTATTAAAGAAAAGATTAGTAAAATAACTTATGTTTGATAAATTATTACAATCACCAGTTTTATTAAAGTTAGCACAAAATTATTAAAAAGATTAGAGACGAAGTTACTCTCTATTACAATCACAAAAACCAAAAAAAAATTCTTAATTCCAGGTTGTGCTAACTTCAATAAAATAGATACATTTCATGAGAAATCATCGCTAACTTATACACAACTCCATCAATTATGAGGGACTTTTTGACAAGCAGGGGGTATACGGACAAAAACTCTGGCAATATAATGAAGGATACATATCAGATGATTTAGATCAACGGTAAAAGCATTAAAGACAGCTTAGCCAAAGGGACAGTTGTGCTTATAGGTGTCACCAAGTTGATAATTAATTCAAATAAAGTAACAAAATTAAATTTGAACCAGTATTTAAGATGCATTACCTTCTTGATATCCCGAATAGCAAACAGCCCAATACACACCTCTCCATTAACCATCCACTGGTTGCATTAAATTTACAAAAAAAAAACAAAAAGTTAAATGAATGAGCACAATAAGCGCATAAAAAAATTTAAAATTCACTACGTTGAACAAATCTTCAAACAGTATCAGGTAACATGTAAGATGAAAGAAAATAGATTAGTATCCAAATTAATTTAATGCCAAAATCAATGTGCTTATTACTTCACATAATTTACATAAAATGAAAAGATATTTTCTTTTCAACAGAAATATTTTGGGCCGAGCTACTTGGGCCGAGCTACAGTTTAGCGAGAGAGAGAGAGAGTTTTCAAAACCATTAACAGAGAAAAAATTTAATATCACAGATTTGACTATTATATCATCATATGAAGATTAAAGAAAGCATTTAGTAAAACCAAAGTTTTAAACCTCAGTTTTATCTTGGTACTCCACCTTGCATGCACACTTATGGTTTCGACAGCTTTGACTGCTATGGCAGGTTTATGATTTCAAGTGTTCTCCTTCTGTTTCAAATATATTTTTAAATAATGTTTGATGTACTTTCAATGAAAAATAATTGAAAAGTTAAATTAAAATTTTATAATTTAAAGTTTATCATCAAAAGTGTTAAAATGTCACCAAGGTCTATAAATGTTGGACCGCTTTTTTATACACCATTTTTAAAACCTTCCACCTAATTCAGTAACATCTTTTGGAATTTCACAATAAATCCCCAAGTTTATTTTGAATCCTTATAAAGATCTTTTTTTTTTTTGGCTAGGGCTATTAATAACACTGACATTGCTGGGGCCCAAACCCGGATGAGAAAAGTGGAGGATTACGTTAGGTAGTTGACAACCAACAAAAAATTTACCAAAAAATCATGACATGAATCATTTTGATCAGTGTGTAAATACTAGGGTGTCCCCTGAAAAAATGTGCAAGGGTTCTCCCATTACGGACGAATGCCGATAAAGAAGTTAGTCCAAGAAACTAATATAAGGATAGAATTTTGGAATATAGGTACTCTCACAGGTAGTTAATATTATGATTTATAGAAAAAAAATATCTTATGCATACAAGAAGATAAAAGGGTTAGAGAAAAAGCTAACGAGATTAATAACTTAGGTTTTACACTTTGGTATTCAGGTAAGAGTCACACAAAAAATGGTGTAGGTGTAATTATAGATAACAGTTTAAAGGCTAATACTATCAAAATTATTAGAATTGGAGATAGAATTATAATCCTTAAGATTATTGTTGATACTAAGATTTTTAATATTATAAGCGCTTATGGTACCCAAGTAGGTTTAAATATAGGTTTAAAGATAAATTATTGAATGACCTAGAAGACTTAATACAAATGATACATTTTGAAGAAAGAATTTTTATTGAAGATGATTTTAGAAATATTCATAGAGTATGGTTTTGGAGTGATTAATGAAGAAGGTATAGCCATATTAGATTTTGCTTTAGCGTGTGATTTTGTTATTACTAATGTTTTATTCAAGAAAAGAGATGAGCATATTATTACTTATAAGAATGGTTTTAATAAAAAAACAAAGTGATTATTTTCTTATGAGAAAAAGAGATCGTTGAACATGTAAAAATTGTAAGGTCATTCCAAGTGTGGATTTAAGTACTCAACATTGAATATTAGTTCAAAATTTAAGATGAAGAGTTGTAAAATAAAGAATATTAGGAATCATTGTCCTAGAATTAGATGGAGACACCTAAAAGACATTAAATTATTTTTATGAGTAAACTTCAAGACTTTAAGAGTGGAGGAAGAGTATTTTGGTCCTTATTTTTAATAATAAAGGGGATGCACAAGAGTATGCAAATTATAGAGAAATTACGTTGACGTGTCATACTTCAAAATTATGGGAGAGGGTAATTGAACATCGATTAAGACGAATTACAAAGATTTCTCATAATCAATTTGGACTTAAATCGAGCAGGTCTACTATGAAAGCTATACATTTATTGAGAGGTTCGACGGAGAAGTTCAGAGATAATAAGGAGGATCTAAATTTGATTTTTATTGATTTAGAAAAAGCTTACGAGAAGGTTCCAAGAGATATCCATTGGAGAGTACTTGAAAAGAAGGTATTGATATGACTTATATTGAAGTTATTAAAGATATGTATACTAGAGCTGCCACTTGTGTTCGAGCAGAAGGAGGATTGATCAAATATTTTCCTATTTTTGTTGGATTACATCAGAGATCGACTTTAAGCCCATATCTTTTTGCTTTAATTATGGATGGCCTTACTGGACATTTACAGGAGGATGTACCTTGGTGTATGTTTTTTGTTGATGATATCCTTTTCGTGGATAACATGTGAGAAAAAGCCCAGAAAAAACTTGAATTATGGAGGTTTACATTGGAGTCTAAAGGGCTTCATTTGATTAAACTAAAGGTAGAACAAAACTGAATACATGGAATGTAATTCTAGTAGTAGTAGCTCTATTAACAGAAGTGTAACTCTGGGTGATCAAATTATTAAAAAGTGTGAAAAATTCAGATATCTCGGATTTGTTGTTCAAAGTGATGGTGATATAGATGGGGATGTTAATAGTAGAATTCAAGTTGGTTGGTCAAAGTGGAGTGATGCTTCGAGCCTTTGGTGTGATAGAAAAGTACACCTTAGACTGAAAGGGAAATTTTATAAGATGGTGGTGAGACCGCAATGCTCTGTGGCGATGAATGTTGGCCTTTAAAAGAGAAGCATAATACTAATTGAAGTGTTGTCGAGATGAGAATGATTAGGTGGATGAGTGGCTTTACACTTAGAGACAAAATGCGAAATGAATATATCCGTGATAGGGTTGGTGTACCTCCAGTGATGGACAAAATTATAGAGATTCCTCTTAGATGATTTGGTCAAATTAAACGTCGACCATCTGATGATCCGATTAGGAGAGTAGATGTTTTAGATTCGACTTATGTTAAGAAAGGTAGAGTTTGACCTCGACATATTGTATTAAAAAAAAATCTTAATTTATTAGAATTAAATAAAAATATGGCACTCAACTTAGCCAACCCCACTTAGTGGGATAAAAGGCTTGTTGTTGTTGTTGTTGTTGTAGGGCTATTATTATTTCCATTAATTTAGCTTATGAGCTATATTTATTAACAAAATTCTAAATTAGTTTAGATTTTCTAACCAAAATACCCCATTTCTCAACTTCTTGCCCTATTCTAGGATTATGGTTTGCTTCAGTTATTTATTAGGGTTGTAGCAATCATCATTAGAATTATGACAAGCAATCTCGACCTCAGAGTTGCACCAAGTTGGACAAAATTGACAAAATAAGACTCATTGTTCTCATAGACAAAGAAAAAGAAGAGCTTCCTCATCTCATTTCCTAGGACAATTAGCATCGGAGAAAGAAAAATATGAGTAAACTTCAAGATTTATTTGAGATTTTTATGAAAAAGCAAATTTTATGTAGCAAAAAGCAACAATATTAAACAATTGACAAAAGATTTACTTGGAGAATCAAAAGAAAATTTCTATAAATAAAAATAATTGATGGTGGTTTAATAATATGCAAGAAAATATAAAATATAAAAAATTATATTATAAAAATTGGTTTAAATGTAAAAACTTAGAGAAATAGGAAAAATATCAAACGACCGGCATGGATTCTAAAAGAACAATCTGTGACGCTAAAAATTCTGTTTTTAGTAATCTTTAGAATACATTAGATGCTAAAAAGGGTGAAAAATACATGTATAAACTAGCAAATAAATAGAAAACAAAAGTAAAGATTTACCTCAAATAAAGTATAAAAGAGTTGAAAATCAAAAAGTGTTTTTCTTAGAAAGAGATATTCAACATGAGTGGGTGAGTTATTTTGATAAACTTTTTGATAAAGTTTTTGAAAATACGATCAGCCTTAGTGATCTTAATATCGTTAATAAGAATAAAACATTTCATTTTTATCGTCGCATTAGTAAAAAAGAAGTTGAGGAGACTTTAAAGAAAAGATAAAATATAAAAAGTTATGTTATAAAAATTGGCTTAAATGTAAAAGCTTAGAAAACTGGAAAAAATATCAAATGACCGACATGGAGTCTGAAAGAACAATTTGTGACGCTACAAATTTTGCTTTTAGTAATCTTTATAATACATTAGATACTAAGGAGGGTGAAAAATATATGTATAAACTAGCCAAACAAAGAGAAAAGAAAAGTAAAGATTTAACTCAAGTAAAGTGTAATAAAGATGAAAATCAAAAAGTATTTTTCTTAGGAAAAGATATTCAACATGGGTGGGTGAGTCATTTTAATAAACTTTTTAATGAAGTTTCTGAAAATACGATCGACCTTAGTAATCTTAACATAGTGAATAATAATAAAACGTTTCAGTTTTACTGTTGCATTAGTAAATAAAGAAGTTGATGAGGCTTTAAAGAAAACCAAGGGTGGAAAGTTTGTACGACCTGATGATATCCCAATTGAAGTGGAAATATTTAGCAGATTTGAAAGTTTCTTGGCTTACTCAACTCTTTAATTTTGTTTTAAAAACTAAAAAGATTCCCGACGAGTGGAGGAAGAGTATTTTGATCCTCATTTTTAAGAATAAAAGGGATCACAAGAGTGTGCAAATTATAGAGGAATTAAGTTGATGTATCATATTTTAAAATTATGAGAGAAGGTAATTGAACATCAGTTAAAACGTATTACAAATATTTCTCATAATCAATTTGGATTTAAGTCGGGAAGGTTTACTATGGAAGCCATACATTTATTGAGAGGTTTGATGAAGAAGTTCATAGATAATAAGGAGGATCTACAATTGATTTTTATTGATTTAGAAAAAGCTTACGATAAGGTTCCAAGAGATATCCTTTGGAGAGTTCTTGAAAAGATGGTGTTCATATGACTTATATTCAAGTCATTAAAGATATGTATAATACAGTTGTCACTTGTGTTCGAATAGAAAGAGAACGGATCAAATATTTTCTTATTTCTGTCGGATCACATCAGGGATCGGCTTTAAGCTCATATCTTTTATTTTTAATTATGGATGGTTTTACTGGACATTTACAGGAGAATGTACCTTTTTGTATGTTTTTTGCTCATGATATCCTTCTTGTGGATAAGATGAGAGAAAAAACCCAAAAAAAACTTGAATTATGGAGGTCTACATTGGAGTCTAAAGGGCTTCGATTGAGTAGAACTAATACTTAACACATGGAATGTAATTTTAGTAGTAGTAGGTTTATTGACAAAAGTGTAACTTTGGGTGATCAAATTATTAAAAGGTGTGAATGATTTAGATATCTTGGGTCTGTTGTTCAAAGCGATGGTGATATAGACGAGGATGTTAATAGTAGAATTCAAGTTGGTTGGTTGAAGTAGAGTACTGCTTCGAGCCTTTTGTGTGATAGAAAAGTACCGCTTAGACTGAAATGAAAATTTTATAAGATGGTGTTGAGACCTGAAATGCTCTATGGCGTTGAATGTTGGCCTTTAAAAGAGAAGCATAATACTAAGTTAAGTGTTGCCGAGATGAGAATGATTGAATAGAATGATTAGTTGGATGAGTGGCTTTACACTTAGAGACAAAATGCAAAATGAATATATCCGTGATAGGGTTGGTGTAGCTCCAGTGACAAACAAAATTAGATTGAGCCGTCTTAGATGGTTTGGTCACATTAAACGTCGACCATCTGATGATCCGATTAAGTGAATAGATGTTTTAGATAAAAACCAACAAAAATTAACTGGAGCACACTAAAATATTTCTAACATGAATATAAAGATATACCAAAATGGATCAATTCCAAGCAAAACATTAAATCATAGTTTAAGCAACCTTCATTTCCAGAACTTAAGAAAAGTGGTTGGCATCCTTAACAAACTCACACAGAGTGGGGTAATGAACGAATGTCATACTATTTGGTTGCATATCTTTTTTACAATCTCATGTCTTTTAAGATTTCGGTAAATTATTCAGTATTTTTTTATACAATCTCTTACTAGATATAGTTATATTAAGTTTCTGGCCTGCTACATTCCATTGTTAATGAGAACTGAAACTCTCCAAACTTCAGAAGTAATAAGAACAAAGATTATATTTTCACGGTTTTCGGGTCCGTTCAAGAAAGAAAATTAAATATCTAACAATTTAAGGGCATTTATGCTTCATCTGAAACAAGACACGGCCAGAAAGCCAATCAGGAAAGAAAATTATATTTGCGCAGCACATGTGATAATGAAGACTCAAGAAAAGCCTAAAGTCATTTCAAAGACCTATCATGCAGAATTTCATATAAAACACTGCGAAAAGGCAAGGATGAAATAGATAGTGTATCCAATAAATTTAATAAAAAATGGCAGTTGAATTCATCTTTGAATTTATCTTTTCATGTTTCTACTTATGTCATGCAAACAGTGACATAATGAAAAACAGCACTAATATTGCCAAGTAAAAATTATCTTTTCAAGAGCACTATGCCATTGGCAAAGGATAGATCGGTGAATCCACAGGCACTGCCACACACGCAGCAACTTAAAAACCGAGCACGTCCTAATGACTGAAAAGAAAATTAGCAGATATAGCCTCTTAACACCAACAATAATATATTGAGAAAGTCCTCCCAAACAAATAGATGAAATTCTAGCATCTATAAGCCAATCTCCACCAAAACCTTGTCTTAAAATCAAAATGCTATGGGGGAAGTTGCAATACCCCTGCAACACCACAGAGATAAGGTAGAAATCAAATATCCACAATCTTTTACAAAAAGAAATTTCCACCTTAAAGCACAAGGTTATAAAAGGAACGTTGTCTACCCACACCCACCACGGCCATATATTAGGTGGCGCAGAATTACCGTACAAACAAAACCACCTCTTCTGCACTACAAAAGAATTCTCAACAAAGCTATGAACAAAAAATAAATCTCAAAAAGAGTGTGAAAATACAAAAAATGCTTATTGAAGACGTGAAGTATATGTCTAAAACATGTGCGTATACAGAACTGAAAAAATGCCCACCTTTTCAGTCCGACAATTAGGATCGCAGCTGTGATTGACATAACGACCCAAGTTTCCCTTAGAGCATGCATCTATGACCTGAAAACCAGTGAAGATAATACCAATCACAAAATACATAGACAATAATATACCAGTTCTGTTGCCTAAAAAATAGTTCTCAATGAATATATTAAGTTCACAAACAAAATAAAGAAGCAAATATTGTGGAGCAATTACATGCAGCTAAACTATTCTTTTGTTTAAAAAATGCTTTTAGAGAGTGTACTATTAACTTTTCAAGCATAATACTAATTAATCAAAACAGAGACGTAAGAATGCAAATATTCTCAATTTATTATAACTAATTTTACAATTGAATCACTTTTAGAAAACTTGCCAAATAACTAATCATCTAGTATTGACAATATGGAACGACCAAAACAAGAAAATGCTAGTGCATGATGAGAAAAAAATGCCATAAAAAAGAAAACAAAATATAAATCAAGACCGTAACTGCTTCAAAATTCCTCAATCACAAAATATAATTCAGAAACGTGATAGAAAAACTTAAAAGACTTAACATTTTACATCTAGAACTAATAAACCCTTTGGGCCAGCAGGAGTTGTATAACATCAACAATAATTTGAAAAACTATTCATGGGCCTAAAATTAGCAATCAAGTGGTAAATAAAAAACCAATAAGATTGAGAATACTTCAACTAGTAACCAGTTGTAATATGCTAAATGGATGTACGATTGTTACATTATTTAACTAGGAATTTTCAAAACTCATCACTTAACCTCAAATATTGACAAGAAACCTGAATTGAGCAACACTAATAAAACAAGCACCAGGATGCTTTCAATTTTTGCCATCAAAGAATCAGTTATTGGATTAAGAAACTGAGAATTATAAATTTTGCAAGGGTTGCGATGAGCACTCTATTGCTCCATGCATGCTAGAACAAAGTCATTTGTTTCATTTCTTTAGGTATTCAGTTAAAAGGTATCAACTCTCTTCTCTTCTCCGCAGGCCACTTTCGTTTACAAAAGGAAGGAACAAAACTTCAAACCACTGTGTGGCGGCAGTAATTCCAATCATTGTAACTGCATAACAGAAAAACAGCATTTGGAAAGTGAAAGACTGGTTCACACAGAAATAAATTCCTGTCACCGTACATGAACTTGAATAAAATGTTCAATCACCTTCTACGAAACTCCTGCATAAATTCCACCAGTTGACACCCACACTCACCGGGAATTCTGCCATCTTCTCTATCACTTCTGCCATCATCTCATTGATCCATAGGATCCCTACTACCTACTCATCAATCCATGAACTTGTGTATATGTTTGTAGTTAGTATTCAATAATTTTACATGTTTAGTATTAGGAACTCCCCTATAACTATATAAATACTGACTAGGTCAACAAATTCTCTCCAATTCTTGGAAGGGCGTCAGAGCCTTGGACTTTTTTTTCTTGGCATTACCATAGGATATATAGCCTTCATCATTGAGTCAACTAGAACTTGCAAGCCTTTATTGTTGCTGTTCCTTTTATTCCTTTTACCTCTTTTTTATAACTAGAACTTTCATCAGATGAATATGACTAAATCCTCTCATAAATTTATTTCATATATCTCAAGTCCGACAAACAAGAGAATAACCAATGCAAATGAATCCTTGATCATATTGAAAAGTCAAAGGATCCTAGAAACAAATCCCTTGCACTCTGAAATACCTTCAATATAGCTAAAATATGTACCAACCAATTATTCATTCAAAGCTAACTAAAGTTTCCAAATTTAGTATCATGTTTATCTTTCATATTTTCTTCAAAATAAGATACGAGGAGGATTATTGGGCATGCTAAAATAAGAAGAATTGTTTTCGGCTCTGCTGGCAATAATTGCACTATGTACTATGAATCATTTAATAAAAACCAAAAGTGATGTATCATGTTTCCAATCTTTTGTAACATGATCAAATATCAATTTTGTATTATTAAAATAGTCAGATATGACAATGTCAAAAATTACTTTAACCATTCTCTCTTCTCCCACCTCAAAGAATAATACATAAATCCTCAAGTGTGTATATACTATATACCCCAATAAAATAGAATAGCCAAATTATAAATTTGTTAACTATTCGTTAGCACAAGGGCACTTTTTTCTCGAAAATTATCCCAAAGTAATATTGGGGGAAGTAGATTTAATAACGCCCACTTAATGAATCAATTCCCAACAAAAAACTTAAGGTTCAGGAGTCCTACACAAGTTCAAAATAATTTATTTCCTCCTTTCAATATGTCAGATAGCTTTATTCCCAAAATATTTGGAAGCGCTGATTTTGTCTATGCACATTCCCAAAACACAAGAAGACTTGATTGTTGAGAAAATAATTAAGTTACATTGATCATTCTCCCACACAAAGGGCATAAATGCTATCATTTCCCTTGAAAAAAACACATTTTTCTGCTGATATCACTTTCACCAAAAGAACATCATTACATCGTTACTATTTATCCTAAGAAAGAAATATCATTCAAAACAAATTCTCCCTTAAAATGCCCTTCCTTAGTCCTTACTCTAACAAGTAATTCTATTACAAAATCAGCCACACCTATCCAAACTGAGCCGATACTTGAACCACTTCCTAATCAAACATATAAATTTACCCATAAAAAAAGATATTTTAATCTACACAATCTCAATCAACCAAATCAATCCATGTCAATGAATCAGATAAGGACACAATTAAGCTATAAATATAGGTATAAGAATTTCTACTAAACATTCCTAATACTTACTTTGATCATGCAAAATAATTCTCATAATCACTAATCACTGCTTACGAGCCAGCGAACAAATCTGATCCCTAAAATACTGTTTGGGACATCAAGTAATATGAATTAAAATAATATTATCAGAAAAGATATGAAAACCCTTAAAAATAGAATAAAAAATTACTAAAATTGTTAAAAATAAATAAATAGATGGTAGAAATTTCTTTTATAAAAAATAAAAATTTGATGGTTCGCGAAAAAATCTATATATGTATAAAATTGATCATCTTGAAATAAATGTTATAATTGTTGAAATGAACATTAAAGAATATCTTCTTACTTGGTGTGAAAGTATATATAAAAGCCAAATCGAGACTTATCTCAAACACATAACAAAAGATATATAAACTAAAGAATGCACTATCAAAATTGTTGTAATCTCCGAGGGCACGGATAGGAATGTTCGTGAATATGATGCCCAACACGGGAATACAAACAAAGACAAGAAGCCCATGTATCAGTTGTGAAATAGAAGGCTTCAAGAGAAGTTCCACACAACTAGTTAATGTTAATAACATAGTCATAACAAATAATGCCTCAAAAAAAAAGAAATAAATAAATAAATAAACTGGTCAAAGAATTTAAAGTAAAAAAAATAGGCAATCTAAAGCACTTCATCGACATCAGGTTGCACATTATCAAAATGAAATCATGATGCAAAATAAGAATATATAACAAACTTGCTAAAATAAATGTATGACTCATAAAAAAGCATCCTATTAGAGACTAATGAGATAATTTATCTACTTGTCACACACTAAATCTAACATCATCAATGTTGGAAATGAAGTGACTCAATTCATGCACAATTCTAAATAATCACATCTTAGGACACTATAGAATTCTACAAATATCATAAAAATATGAATTCTATTTAAGAAGGGAGAGAATTGACACTTAAAAAATACACATATATAGATTATGTAAGTTTTATGGAAAATAAGAAGTAAACTTCAAGGCATTGCTTATTTTTAGAAGATAGCCACTAGGTGAATTGGAGACATAAAAGATTAAAATGAGATTACAAGATCTACCACAAAAGCTAAATTTAGATCCATACCATTGGAAATCAACAAATTAAACTTATTCAAACGGGATTAAAGATTAAATGAAAAAGTAATATGACTCTATCCAAACAGCAAAACAATCATCAATATTGCATATAATCTCGCACAACAGGAACATTTAAAGCATGGAGTTGATAGACACTTTATAAAAAAAATCCTAATAATGATCCACTATTTACCATGTTCATAACTACAAATGAACAACTTGTTAACATTCTCAACAAAGGATACAACAACAAAGCCTTAATCCCACTACTTAATCCCACTAACATGAATCCTTTTTCTCCATTGCGTCCTATTTAGAGTCATATTTTCATTTAGTTCTAATAAATTAAGATCATTTTTAATACAACAAGCCCAAGTCTTCTAGGTCCACCTCCATGGAGTTGAAAGACACTTTATAAAAAAAATCCTAATAATGATCCACTATTTACCATTTTCATAACTACAAGTGAACAACTTGTTAACATTCTCAACAAAGGATACAACAAAGCCTTAATAATCCCACTACGTGGGGTAGACTACATGAATCATTTTTCTCCATTGCGTCCTATTTAGAGTTATATTTTCATTTATTTCTAATAAATTAAGATCATTTTTAATACAACAAGCCCAAGTCTTCCTAGGTCCACCTCTGCCTTTCTCAACATAATCAGATGGTCGACGTTTAATGTGACCAAACCATCTAAGACGACTTTCTCTAATTTTTCTGTCACTGGAGCTACACCAACCCTATCACGGATATATTCATTTCGCATTTTATCTCTAAGTGTAAAGCCACTCATCCACCTAATCATTCTCATCTCGGCAACACTTAACTTAGTATTATGCTTATCTTTTAAAGGCCAACATTCATCGCCATAGAGCATTGTAGGTCTCACCACCATCTTATAAAATTTTCCTTTCGGTCTAAGTGGTATTTTTCTATCACACAAAAGGCACGAAGCATTACTCCACTTCAACCAACCAACTTGAATTCTACTATTAGCATCCCCATCTACATCACCATCGCTTTGAACAACAAACTTGAGATATGTAAATCTTTCAAACCTTTTAACAATTTGACCACCCAAAGTTACACTTCTATCAATAGAGCTACTACTACTAAAATTACATTCCATGAATTCAGTTTTAGTTCTACTCAAATAAAGCTCTTTAGACTCCCATGTAGACCTCCATAATTAAGGTTTTTCCTGGGTTTTTTCTCTCATCTTATCCACGAAAAGGATATCATCAGCAAAAAGCATACACCAAGGTACATCATACTGTGAATGTCCAGTAAGCCCATCCATAATTAAAGCAAAAAGATGTGCATAAAATTGATCCCTGGTGTAATACAACAGAAAAAGAAAATAATTGATCAATCCTCCTTCTGTTCAAACACAAATGACAACTCAAGTATACATATCTTTAATGACTTGAATATAAGTCAGATCAACACATTCTTCTCAAGAACTCTCCAAAGGATATCTCTTGGAACCTTATTGAAAGCTTTTTATAAATCAATAAAAATCAAATGTGGATCCTCCTTATTAGCTCTGAACTTCTCCATCAAACCTCTCAATAAATGTATAGCTTCCATAGTAAATTTGTCCGCCATAAATCCAAATTGATTATGAGAAATCTTTGTAATACGTCTTCACCGATGTTCAATTATCATCTCCCATAATTTTAAAGTATGACACATCAACTTAATTCCTCTATAATTTGCATACTCTTGTGCATCCCTTTTATTCCTAAAAATAGGGACCAAAATACTCTTCCTCCACTCCTCGGGCATCTTCTTAGTTTTTAAAACAATATTAAAGAGTTTAATAAGCCAAGAAACTCTCAAATCTCCTAAATATTTCCACACTTCAGTTGGGATATCATCAGGTCCTACAGACTTTCCACCCTTAGTTTTCTTTAAAGCCTCCTCAACTTCATTTTTATTAATGCGACGGTAAAAATGAGACGTTTTATTATTATTAACGATATTAAGATCACTAAGGTCAATTGTATTTTCAGAAACTTCATTAAAAAGTTTATCAAAATAACTCGCCCACACATGTTAAATATCTTTTTCTAAGAAAAGCAGTTTAATTTTCATCTTTAATACACTTTACTTAAGTTAATTATTTACTTTTCTTTTCCCTTTGTTTGGCTAGTTTATACATATATTTTTTACCCTACTTAGTATTAATCTATTATAAAGATCACTTAAAGCAAAATTTTTTGCATCGCGGATTGTTCTTTTAGGCTCTTTGCAGGTCGTTTGATAGTTTTCCTAGTTATCTAAGCTATTACATTTAAACTAATTTTTATAACAGAAAATCTTATTCCACCACTAACTAATTTTATTTATAGAATTTTTTTCTTTTGATTCTCAAAGTACATCTTTTACTACTTATTTAATATTGCTTGTTAATTTATCCCACATAGCATCTGCTTCTTCCTGAACATCTCAAATTTTAAAAACTTGAATTTTACTCATAAAAATAATTTTATCTGTGTCATTTAGGTTCCCCCATTTAATTCTACGATGATGAGTCCTAATATTCCTTAATTAACAACTCTTTATCTTAAAATCTAGAATTAATAATCGATGTTGAGTACTTAAATCCTCACTATGAATGACCTTACAATTTTTACAATCTCAACGATCTCTTCTTCTCATAAGAAAATAGTCAACTTGAGTTTTATTAGATTCATTTTTATAAGTAATAAGATGCTCTTTTTTTTTCTTTTCTTGAATAAAGTTTTCTTGAATAAAGTATTAGTTTTCTTGAATAAAGTATTAGTAATAACAACATCATACGCTAAAGCAAAATCTAAAATGACTATACCTTCTTCATTAGTCACTCCAAAACCGTAGCCACCATGACTATTTCTAAAATTTTCTATCACTCTACCGACATGTCTATTTAAATCTCATCCAAAAAATTTTTTTTCTTCAAGAGGTATCAATTATATTAAGTCTTCTAAGTCATTACAAAATTTATCTTTAAACCTTATATCTCAAACAACTTGAGGAGCATAAGCACTTATAATATTAAAAATATTAGTATCAATAATAATCTTAAGTGCTATAATTCTATCTCCAACTCTATTAATTTTTATAACATTATCTTTCAAACTCTTACCTATAATTACACCTACACCATTGCTAATGTGACTCTTACCAGAATACCAAAGTTTAAAACTTAAGTTATCAACCTCCTTAATCTTATCTCCAACCCATTTAGTTTCTTGAATATATAAGATGTTAATCTTTTTATGAATCATAATATCAACTAGTTCCATTAATTTACCATTAAGAGTACTTATATTGCAAGAACTTATCCTAATATTAGTTTTATTAGTTTTATTAGTTTTATAGACAAACTTTTTTATCCGCATTCGTTCGTAATGTGAGAACTATTGTTTATTTGGCACTACACCCGGGCGTCGGTGTAGCGGCTTTTACATGTTTTTCATTGTATTTAGGTCATACAACACGTCGCTTCCAGAAGACGCCCTAGCACTTACACAAAGATCGAAATGATTCATGTCATGATTTTTTTGACAAGTTTTACACTAGTTGTTGACTTCTTAACCCAACCTGATTCATGTCATGATTTTTTTGACAAGTTTTACGCTAGTTGTTGACTTCTTAACCCAACCTTCCACATTTCACATCTGGACTTGGGACCGGCAACGACAGTGTAAATCTTTTAAAAATTATTAGGTAACCTTAGAATAGATGACATCCATTCATTCACTTAAGGAGGAGTGTCAAACACATTCAAAATTTCCCCTAGTCATAACCCAAACTTACCAAAAGTTCTGCCCTATTTTCTTCCTCCTCCACTACCTAATAGACTAGCTAAATCCTCACTGCTTACTCATCAATCCATAGCCAATTATAATTACTTTATAATTACTATTCTACACACTCGTCCATCTATTGTTTATTATCATTATTCAAAAATAATTATTTTTTTTTTCTTTTTTGCATTTTTCCTATTAGAAGCTCTCTTAGAATTGGACATGTACTACATAAATTTTGGAATGAACGTCTCAACCAATGCTCTCCAACTCGAGCCCTCTTCAAGCCCGATTATGATACTTAAATAACCACATCAAGGTTCAAATCATGGCAATGCAATTCTGATTTTAAAAGATAGGCCTAAAATAATGATTAGGTAAACACATTGTGATCTAAAGATAGTTAATTCAATGAAAATAAAAATAAATAAAAAAATTCAATGCAATGCATGGGAAAGATTGCATACATCAATCCCTCTCCAATCCCATCTGTGAAAAAGTCTCACAAAAACTGCAGCTTTTTTCCCCGTGTCATCTCCATATACAGTATCGCCAATAGCATTACATTGCAAACTGTCGCACAACAACAATTACAAATTTGATCCCACGTTATCATTTATTAAAAGAACGATGGTTTCAAATATTAAGTTTTCTTTATCGGATGAAACAGTGTTTCTTCATCAGAATCAATTGTGTAAGAAGCTGGCTAAATTATATTAATAACTGAATTTTAAGTGCTGCCGAATTCATTAACTAATAAATATTTAGTATCCCAAATTCATTAGCTCAATTAGAACAGCTAAAAAGTACAATAAGCTTAGAGCCAACTATGTTGCCACTTTATCGCAAAAAACATTGCAATTGCATTGTTAAAAGAGGCAAAATTAAATACATAAACAAAAGAAAAGACATTAAAATTAATTATAGGGAGAATGAAAGGGGCCAAACCTCACCACCATTCAACGTCATAAAATAAAAATGCTTATGACCCCTGCAAGCATAATATCTAAGCCGTTCTTCATAAGCAGCTAAATCAAGCACCTGAAATAGCAAAACATAACCACAAGTGATATACTAAAAATTAATATGAAGCCATCATAAATGATATACTGAAAATTAATATGAAGTCATCATAAAAAGCACATAAACTATATGTATCCCTAGAAATCTTGCTCAACAAAATGTGAAACGTGATAGGGATATAGTTTTCATTGAAAAAGAAATAAGAACTAATATGAAGAACAAAACTTCATTGGAACCATGATGGAAAAAACTAGAAATAACAAAAAAAAAATTATATATGACAGCAAAAACCTCACCTCCCCAACCACCTCCCCAACATATTCTCACCTCCCCAACATATTCAATGAGAAATTGTCCTTTAGAAGCACTCTCTTCCAACTGCAATCCATAGCCTTTCTTTCCGCAGTTAATCCATTTAAATTTGGCATACTTGCGCTTTTGAAACTGTGTAAAAAATTACATAGAAAAATCAGATGCGTCTCAAACCAAAATATCCTCGTAAAGAATGTAGCTCAATACCTGTTGATTCGAACATAGATTCCCACATGGGCAGGTTCCCTTTACGCACTCAATATTAAGCATACGGTTTAAACATTCCTCACCACAACCCAAACCGCCATCTCGAGGCAGCTTACAATGGCAGACCATCATCTGTTTTGCAGACATGATAGAAATTTAAGAAAATAAATCAAACTTACAGGAAAAAATACAACAAAATAACTGGAGTGGTTGCATGAATCTACAATTAGCACTGGAAAAAAACCGCTCAAATAATCTAACACTAAATCAATATACTTCAGGAGAAGCATTATAATAATAGAATGCTTGACTTAACAAATAAAACAATTGAAATAACCAATACTAATTTTATCTAGAAAAAAAGTTAATGATGGGGAGGTGCAACAGATGGTCTGTTGAGAAAAAAAGAATGAATAATCCATTTATTAAAATGATGAACTAGACAAGGCAGTAGAATTATAAGAACAAATCAGCAGTATAAATCAATAGGAAATATCTATGTTAACAGTGAAGCTTTGATAAAGCTAGATTTATAGGGAGTCGAAAGCAGCGCTACTAATGCAAAACTACTCTAGTTGGTCAGCTAGTTTTGTTTAAATGGTTATGAATAAACACATATAATTCCCTATGGAATAAAAAAATGTTGACATAAACCTGCATGTTCACTAAAGGTAACAGCAATAACCATATATCAATAGCTGAGATGTGATTGATGTTAGAAAAAATGCTGCTACCTACAAAAAAAAAAGGAGAAAATAAAAACAATTTAAACATCTAATGTGCAGATAGAATAAAATATGCGAACAAAGTACGTGAAATGTGACAAGCATATTTCGTATGATAAGCTCAAATGACCATCTGATAGCCTCACTGTGATTTTACAAATCTCTCATAAAGTGAATAGAACTATGCCTAATCACGAAAAATTGTTGTGGAAACATTCCCTCTCCAATAAAAGTTTGTGAACAAAGAGTTGCCCAGAGTTGGCGTGCCTAATGTACTAGCGCCACATATGCCATACTGCACAGGATATAGAGATCACAAAAATTCCCCCAAAAAAAAAACTGCAATTACACTCAGACCTTGAGTCTATTACCTCTTTTATCTCATACAACAAAATCCACATAGTTAAAGCAATGAAGGACAGACTTATAAATTGCAACTTGCACTTAAAATTCCACAGAAACACACAACTAAAATAAAAAACAACATTTAAGCATGACATCACCTTAACCAGCATTCAAACAATTATATGCTGCTACCACAAATAAAATGAACGCGTCCCATCTGAGGGAGCAAACAATCCACAAAGAAAATTCTGGCTTCGTCCAATAGAAAGGGAAAGCTAGCCTCACATGAGGACATGAGGTAGATTCTAAAAAAAGAATCAATCCCTAAATCCACCAAATTCTCGAATAAATTCCTTATTTTCATGAGGTCTAGACAACAGATCCTTCCTTCCAGTCCTCACTCCAACCTCGCTTTATCACATTACTTTTTGAAATTTTACCTCTAACGTCTCCCAATAAAGTGAAGAAATATTACATCAGTACTACGCACGTAAAAATAATGTGCGTAGCCAATCAAAACACGCCACGACATCTCGCGCGACAGAGCAAAAAAAACGGCGCAGTAACACGG